CTCCAGGAGCAGGACACTTCCCAAACCTCTCCCAGGCTGCTCCTACCCCAACACTTGAGGGAAATCAACACCTTTAAGAGGATAAAAAAACCTTTATTCCCAGGTATTTCCCGGTTGCAACCTCAAAAAGCACCAGAGACCTCGGAGTAAATCCAAATTATGCTCTCACATTCCATGTAGGACATGGACTTAACTCCCCAGCATGGATTTATTCCTTCTGTCCTGCTCCTAAATCTGGAAAATATCCTGATTTTGGCTAAAAAGCCACTCAGGAATTAAAAAAATCCCAGGCACCTACTGCTGGTTTTAAGGCCTTTTCTTTCTGGAAGCTCAGGAAGTCTTGGATTAAACAGGGCTGGAAAAGAACAACTTCCCTGCTAAGGTTTAAGTCTAAACCCCTGAAACTAAATCTAAATCATCTAAATCTAAATTATTGGATTTTTTAAAGTGAGATAAAGAATGAAAATGGAAAAGTATTCCAGGGTCTTTTCCCAGTTTTCTGGGAAGTGAGTCAGCTTACACCAAAAATTCCAATGAAAATGGTCCTAAATCTCACCCTCTACAGGGACCAAGGAATTAAGGAATAATTTAGGGTGTTTTTAATTTGCTTTTTACCTGTTTTCTCACTCATAGGTGTGTGTGGAATCTGAGGTTTTGAGGCTGGGCCTCAAATAAAATAAATTAAAGAAATAAATATAAATAAAAATAAAATAAAAAATAAAATAAAATAAAACTAAAAAATAAAGTAAAATAAAATATAATAAAAAATAAATATATAATATATATTGTTATATATATTATTATATATAAAATATATATTATTATATTATATATAAAATATATATTATTATATATAAAATATAATAAAAAATATAATAAAATAAAAAAAAATAAAATAAAACTAAAAAATAAAGTAAAATAAAATATAATAAAGTAAAAAAAATAAAGTGAAATAAAGTAAAAAAAGTAAAATAAAATAAAAAATCAAGAAAATAAAATGAAAATAAAAATAACGTAAAATAACAAAAAGTAAAAATAAAATAAAATAAAAAAATAAAATAAAGAAAAAAAAAAAAAAAAAATAAAGTAAATAAAATGAATAAAATAAAAATAATAGAAAATAACAAAATAAAAATAAAATAAAAATAAAGTAAAATAAAAAAATAAAATAAAAAATAAAGTAAAACAAATAAAATTAAGTAAAATAAAGTAAATAAAAAGAATAAAATAAAAATAACGTAAAATAACAAAGATTAAAATAGAATAAAAATAAAGTAAAATAAAAAATAAAATTAGTTAAAAAATAAAATTAAGGAAAATAAATAAAATGAATAAAATAAAAATAATCTAAAATAAAAAAATAAAATAAAATAAAGTAAAAAAATAAAATTAAGGAAAATAAAGTAAATAAAATGAATAAAATAAAAATAACGTCAAATAACAAAAAGAAAACCAAAATAAAATAACAAAAATAAAGTAAAAATAAAGTAAAATAAAAAATAAAATAAAGTTTAAAAAATTAAGGAAAATAAAGTAAATAAAATTAATAACATGAACATAATATAAACTAAAACAATGGTAAAATAAAATAAACCTATCTGAAAACAGCTCTTTGCCCTTCAGTTTGAGTCCTGAGCTCTGTC